AGCACAGAGCCCGACGCGGGGCTTGAACTCACAGACCGTGAGATCATGACCTAAGCCGAAGTCGGACGCTCAACCGACTGAGCCACCCAGGCGCCCCATCACCTGCTTTCTTAATGAACTCCTTGTGATGATTGCTGCTTTCCTGAAGGTTCACAAATTATCCTCTTCTCAGGCTTGAAGACAAATTCCCATTCTACACAGTGTGTAGAATCCACCTATATCCTCTTTTTGAAAATCAGGATTATTTTGCTTAACAGGTAGTCTCCTGATACTCTAAATCTCTTGATTTTTTTTTTTTAAAGGTTTACTTATTTTTGAGAGAGCGAGCATAAGTGAGGGAGGGGCAGAGACAGAGGGAGACAGAGGATCAGAAATGGACTGCACACTGTCAGCAGAAAGCCTGATGCGGGGCTTGAAGTCTCGAACCGTGAGACTGTGACTTGAGCCAAAGTTGGACACTTAACCGACCAGCTGCCCAGGCGCCCCTGACCTTCTATTGATTTGAGCTACCTGAGGCCAGAGACCACCTGGGCTTCTCTGCATACCTCAGAGGGCTCAGCACAGCATCTTTCACATAGTACTTTCAACTTAAAACCTGTGAAGATAGTTTATGACTAAAAAATACTATTATTACATGGTTGCTGCAAATCTCAGAAGGAGACTTAATTTGAGCCAAATATTTTCAATTTACATGGATGACCTGGATGAAAGTAAAACTCAGATTTTATATGCAAGTCACATTCTTTCTCTCCTCTGTGGCCTTATGGTTACTGGGATGGCCATCCATCCATCTGCTCATGACACTTAGGAACAGGAATCTCTGAGGTGCCTGGGTGGCTCAGTCATTTAAGCATCTGACTCTTGATTTTGGGTCAGGTCATGATCTCATAGTTCATGAGATACAGCCCCGCATCAAGCTCTGCAATGACAGCACAGAGCCCGCTTGGGATTCTCTGCCCCTCCCCTGTCATGTTTGTGTGTGCGCGCACACACACACACTCTCTCTCTAAAAATAAATAAACTTAAAAAAATTAGGAATATCTGTGACCTAAAAAAATTAATCTTGCTTTCAAAGGAGCCCAATTTATAAAGACTTGAAAGAACTAGGTACTGACAAAGTCCAAATTCAACAAATATTTAATGGACTGTCTTTGACCACTGACCACAAATTCATAGTTAAAACTCTTTTCAAGATGTGGAGCTTAATCTCCCCGGGTTGGACTTAGTGATTTATCAGATTATGGTGGAAGTGATGGTATGTGACTTCTGAGGCTAGGTCATAAAAGGCATGTGACTTCTCTTTGTGCTTTCTCTTGGATCACCTGCTCTGGAGGCAGCCAGCTGCCATATTGTGAGAACACTCAAGCAACTTCACGTTGTGAGGAACTGAGGCCTCCTGCCAAAAACCATGTACGTGAGTCATCTTGAAAGCAGATTCTCAGCCCCAGTTAAGGTTTTGAGATGACTGCAGCCCTTGCCAATATTTTGACACAACCTTATGAAAGATACTGAGTGAGAATCACCCAGCTAAGCCACTCCTGAATTCCTAACCTACAGAAATGGTGAGATAGCAAGTGTTTATTGTTTTAAGTTGCCAGCTTTTAGGGTCGTTTGTTATACAGCAATCAATAACTAACACAAATAAATTCGGAATTTTCACTTACCTTGTAGTATTGTAAAATTCTTGATGAGCTGACCATGCTTGGAGTCTACCAGCTTCATTTCTTCCATAATTACTGATAAGTTGGCTACTTCAGTATCTAACCTTGACCTCATCATGTCTTGTTGCATCCTGAGAGAAACAGAATCCAAACGGATGTTGGCCAGTGTGTTATTCAAGGAGGTCAGGTCGTCTGTGTGTTTGGTCAGCGTATCTGTGCAAGTCGTCCTGACTTCATTCAGATTGCTGGTCAGCGTCCGCAGGTAGTGGGCAGTGTAACTGATGTTGCTAATGATGTTCACAATATCTGTCTCAAAGAGCTGGAAGCGTTCCTCCAACTGGCTGAACTTGATGGCTGTTCTGTTCTCCGCATCCTTGTGTACGTCCTGCAGGTCTTTCAGGTTCTGCTCATTGGCTTGTGAGGCTGTGGTGATGTTGTCCATCTGACCTGTGAATGAACTGAGCTGGCTGTTCATATCCTCCAGGGTGTCGTTGTTAGCTTTGGCCAAGGCAGAGTTATTGGCAGCCAGCGTCTGTAAACTCTGCACTTTCTCCTTCAGCCAATCAGTGTCCTTCTTGGCTTGAAGGAAAACCTGCTGCAGATTTTGGAAGTCGTTCTTGATTCGCTGGATGGCCTGGCTCGTGTCATCCACAGACCGCTGCAAATTAGTGATGAGGTTCCTCTGCTGCACCTGGGTCAGGTTCAGGTTGTTGAGGTTCATAATAACCACGTTATGAGAGTACATTTGGCTCTGCAGATTGCCCTGCAGCACGCTGGTGTCTTGCTGTAGATTGGTGACATAGCCATTATACGCTTGGAGGGTTTTGTTTACAGTGGTGATGAGGAAAGAGTTATTCTCCAAAGTTTCCTTCAGGTGACTCTGCCTGTCCACCAGCGCATCCCCACTTGCCTGTAACTTCTCCAGCGTGTCTTTGTTCTTGCTGGTTTTCTCTGTAATCTCACGAAGCTGCTGACGAAGATCCAGTATATCTGATCTGAAGGTAGAAAGTTCTGAGTTGGTGCTTATAGCTTTCTTCCCAGTTTGGTCCCCTGGAATAAGACATGTTTTGTTACTTAGTGATATGAAGAAATGTTCACGTGAGGTCAAAGATCTCAAAGAGACTTAATTGGTATGCACTGCGTATTTCAGATATAAAATCTGTGATGCACTGCGTATTTCAGATATAAAATCTGTGATATATGCAGAATGGTCTACGTTAGTAAAACCCATGTGTCTATTAAAACTGGGTCCTGGAAAAGTGGAAAGGGTACTAACTTTGTAAGTGCTTTTCTCAAAGAAGGAGGGAATTCTACCAGATTCTAGAGCACTGGGCAGGGTGTCAAGAAGGCAATAAACTTTATTAAATTTACCATTAATTCCTTCCAAAAAAATGGAAACAAAAATTCAAGGATAGAACTGGAATCTTTCATTTAAAAAAAATTAATTTTCATAATTCTTCAATGCAGTTTAGAATATTTCAAATAGGAATTGACTGGAAATTTTATAAAAGAGCTTTTATTAAGTGTATTTGTGGTACTTTTTGATCAGGATTGGTCTTCAGATTTTTATAAGCATTTTTTTTTAAGTTTATTTATTTTTGAGAGAGAGGGAGAGACAGACAGAGCACGAGCACGGGACCGGCAGAGCGAGAGAGGGACACAGAATCCGAAGCAGGCTCCAGGCTCCGAGCTGTCGGCACAGAGCCCGATGCGGGGCTTGAACTCACGAGCTGTGAGGTCATGACCTGAGCTGAAGTAGGACGCTTAACCGACTGAGCCACCCCGGCGCCCCAGTCTTCAGATTTTCAAATGCTTATTTATTTTTGAGAGAGAGAGAGAGAGAGAGAGCGAGCGCAAGTGAGCACAAGCAGGGGAGGAGCAGAGAGAGAGGGAAACACGAAATTCAAAGCAGACTCCAGGCTCTTGGCTGTCAGCACAGAGCCTGACGTGGGCCCTGAACTCATGAACTGTGAGATCATGACCTGAGCTGATGTTGGATGCTTAGCTGACTGAGCCACCCAGGCGTGCCTGGTCTTCAGATTTTAACTGGCATATGGAGTAGTTTTTGGGGGTGGGGAGAATCCAACTCTAAGATTGCTCTTTAACTTTAAAACGTAGACGCCTTTAAATTAAATTGTGAGGAAAAACTCAACACACAACACAAAAATTAATGTCCTTCTGGGTGGATGTGAGTTTATAGCAATGTCATTCTAAAGAGCTATGGTCTTTTAATGTAGAATTAGAGGATTTAGTTTAATGGGTCATTCTTGTTGCAGATTACCTAATTTTTTCAGGTCGCTTTCCACTGCTGTGAGCTTGTCATCATAGGTTTGGCGAGATGTCTCCATGCCACCTGTAACATTGTCCATTTTTTCTACAACTAAGATTTGGAAACTAAAGATTAGTACACACACCTGCTCATAATTTATTTTTCAGTTTCAACAAAAGACCATTTCATTACAGAATACAGGAAACAGATTGACACAAAAAGAGTATAAATGAAATCAAATATGAGGAATAAGCCATTCTCGTAGAAAAATAACTTGTCACAAAACCCAGTGATAGTTTATTTGGTTGAGAACTGTATGTTCTTATGATTCTGTATTGCCTCAGATGTTCCAGACCTTGTTTGAAACTAATTTTTAATTTTTATGTATTATATAAGCTTTTGATCTGTATTATTTTCTATAGGAACTTCCATAGGTAGATCATTTACAAAATCTCATCATTCATCAGACTCCCTACTATTCCTGGAAGGTGGTACTCACTTATCTGGAAGCAGAGTCCATAGCAAAGAACACCTAGCTTAATTCTATAAACAGTCTTCGTGAAAGGGAAACAGTGTTTGCCGTTCTCTTTCAGGAGGCCTGAAAAATTTGGTTCTCCTTAGTGACAAGTGAATCTGTAGTTTATCAGTTCCCAAGGAGATGCCTAAGTTGGTTTCCAAACAATGATCTATGAAGACTTTTCCTTTTTTTTTTTTCTTAGCATTTTCTTGATTGTACGCGATAGGGAAAGAGTTAGTGATACAATGTTAAGTAAAAGCTTCTGTTCTCTTTGTTCTCAGAAGGCAGTCATTCTCTATGGTTGTGAATATGGTTTCTTTCTAAAATATCTATTAAGAGTGTATTTCTCCAGAAGTGACTCCTGTGAGATCCAGCCTCCAGCAGCTTGAGATGCAGTCTTTCTTGGTATCAACGGTTTTCTGAAAATACGGACTTTATTTTTTTTTAAGCATGAATATGTTTTGTATGTTAATTGTGAGGTAATGGAGCCAGTTTGTTTTTATTTATCAAGTGTCCCACCCATGCAAGACCGTGTTAGAAGATTCCCCTGGCTCCTATCAGGAAGCAGAAGTATGCTCCCATGTGTCTGTATGACCTAAACTGACCCAGCCCTGTGGTGCCTAGCACCTTCCCTGGAGAACCTTGCCATGCAGTCACTGTACCAAATACCTTCCCACCCAAGCCCTTCCATGTGTTCTTTCTACCTAGAATGTTCTTCCCTGGACTCTTCACCACGCTAAGCCCTACTTGCTCTTCAAGACTCAGCTCATTACTTCCTGTGGGAAATCTTTGCTGCCGGGCATCTTGCAGAATTCTTTTGGCAAGTAGTCCTTTCCCTACTGTAGGACTTCCTTCAATGTGTTATCATGGCTTGTTTACTATCAGATCCTTTAAGGCAGGAAAATGTGTACGCAGTTTTATCCATGCCTCTTAGTGTGTGGCACTTAGTAGGCATTCAACACATATTTGTTTATAATGCTATTTATTTAAATAAATGAGAGTCTGCCTGCTGGCTACTGAGGCCTGTGAAAAACTGGCTGAGCTAGATAGAGGTCATGCAAACAAACATACAAACCAGACGCCCCAGGGAAGCCTCAGCACTGGCAACGAGTACAACATCCAGTTGAATGAGGATTGTTGTTTTGGTAAGTGACTATATAGACAAGAGAGGTACAGTTACAGTAATCTGTACCTTAGGATTGTTAGATAGGCATGCACATTCATAAATCCCTGAAACTGAACAAAATGTTTCATCTGCATTTAAGCAAAATTAAACTTTTAAAAAATAAAGTATAAAATGTTTATGAGTTAAGATTCAGTTTTGATCCTCAAATCAAAACACATGCCTCAGTCTGTCCTCAAACCACACACAGGATTTTAAGTCCTGCCCTTTTTTCCCCCGGAAGCCGAAAAAACCTCTAAATATGCTGACAGGCAGTCATTTTTCTACCCTCTCTAATTTTTCTTCCATTTTAGTTTAAAAAAACACAGAATTTTCATGGACAGATAATTCAGGTTTGCGCAAAGGGAATGAATACATTTGTTACAAACAAATAACAAACCTGTTAGGTTTCTCTTCCGCTCAGCAAGGAAGCTATTTGCCCCGACCACAAATGCTAATGAACTGCTTACATGCACTGGGGTGTGTGCGTCTGTGTTTAAAAATAGGATCTGGGTATAAAGCTGCAAACTTCAGGGCTGCAAAGCTGGCAGCTTGGTATTACATAAAAATACCCAGCTGATGGACATCCAGAACCAACACTTGCTGTAATAGCACACAGCATTTTCGTCAATTTTTACTCTTATCAGCACAAGTTGTTAACCAGGAAAACGGTGGCAGAGCCATCCTCTCTTAGACTAGAAACTGTCTATCGATGCAGACCTCTGTCTGTAGGTCCCTCTCCTGTGAGGAAAATGAACATGAAACAGAAGAGTTCCCAGCAGTCTGTTTTTTTCATGGGCTCCGCTTTACTAGAAACTGTTTAACAGAGAATTTTTCTTTAGAATAATTGCTGCTTCAGATATTATAGCTAAAGGGTCAGCCCTCTTCAAGTACCCAAAGCCTAATTCCCTTGGATAATCTGACAATAATCCCTTTTCTACAAAAGCATTTTGGTACCATCCCTTGGCCTGGACCATCAACCTCCTTCTCTCTTAATGCCACCCATCCTTCAGGGTCCACTCCAAGATGACCACTCCAACTATGCTCAGCCTTCCCAGATGATCGGATTCCACACCACACCAATGATAACACCAGTAACAGCCTCTCTTTATTGAGGGCCTACTCTTTGAGAGGTGCACTGTGCCATCACTGCAGTTAATCCTTAATCTGCTATTTTACAGATGAAGAAATTGAGGCTCAGAGACGTTCAGTAGCTTGCCCAAAATTACACAGCTTGTAAATGACTAGGGGGCTGGCAGTCCAGGAGATCTAATTCCAAACCCCATGCTTTCTCTATAACTCCACATTGCTTCTTATGTACTATTTCTTTTTCCTAAATATGGTTTCCTCCCACAAGAGGCATAGCTCATGGTCCAGTCCCTGAGGAAAGGAACAGCAGCAAGGCACAGAGCTCCTGCTTGGTGCGCATGAGTGTCTGTCCCAGGCTGAATGGGGGACTGAGTGAGGGGAGATACCCCTGCATTGGTACCTGGGACTTCTGGGAATACCAGCTGCACTCCCCTGGAATGCAATAAAGACATTTCTACCTTGAACACTATTTCAGGTTTCATTACAAACACTTAGGAGATATGGTTGTATGGTGTTACCCTGGCTTCTAACGTAGCCAACTCAGTGTGATTTGATGGACATAACTGCTAGGTTAGGAGAGCTTAGCAGCAAGGTAGACCTTCTGTGACTAGGAATGTTGAGTTACAGGAGATTCTTCTTGAGAAATATTCAGATTTCTGTCTTTCTTCTTTATCCTCATTACCTTAAGATGGATGACTGCTGGGAAGGACAACTGAGTACAATTTCCCCGTTCAGGGAATGTTCTGGAGGAAACACAACTCATTGAAATTAAAAGATGGCTTCTGCCACGGAAGCTCCATGACTGAGGATAAAAAACCCAAGCAGAGAATGACCCAAGCTGAAACTGTCCAGGAACACGCTTTCTATAAAGTAGCTCATGAGTGTCATGGTCACAGCCACGGTACAGACCTGTGTGGGTGACTCAGCAGTTCCCTGACTTGTGCAGCAAATTCTCTAGAAGGAACTAAGTTATATCCCAACTTGTAGCTGTCTGAGTGACATAAAAGGAGAAGTAAAAACACAATTTTGAGAAAAACAGTATGGAGTTGCCTTTGCTAACTCTGATACATAAAGCAGTTTCTATTTTCTTTCCTTTCTAACTTCTCCTTCAGAGAAACATCTTCTTTGTCTGAATATTTCTTTTTCTTCCTTTCTTTTTTGCAACGGACAGAGTTTCTCTAGACTTCAAAGGGAGACATGGGAGGGGAGAACTAGGTCTTATCTTTCTGCCTCTTACAATGTGCGGTTACTAGAATCTTATTAGCAAGAAAGAAGAATCACTGTACAAGAGAAAACACACCTGGAAAATATCCACACTTTAGTTTATGAAGACTATGTTTGGAAACCAAAACTGCATGTTGTATTATCTTATATTTCTAAGTAGATGCCTGAGAGATGGGGGCCCCTGAAGGAGGAAAAAGGGGCAAGACGATCATCTTGTGTCCACTTGCACTTGGTTCCCTCAACCTCTCCCCACTTCATCCTGGACAGATGACACCCACGGAGAAGGCCATGCTGATCTTCAGGATTTTAGGCTTACAGGTAGGGATCTGAGTGGTAGCAATGCCTTAAGTGCAGAATGGTTTTAGAGTCCCTGGGCACCACCTGATTGTCTTTACAGAAGTCAGCCCTGATCTACAATCCATCCATCCATCCATCCATCCATCCATCCATCCATCCGTCCATCCATCCATCTATCCATCCATCCATCTATCCATCCATCCATCCATCCATCCATCCATCCATCCATCCATTCTCTCATTAATTTATTCAGTAACTTCACTTGGTGCCTAATAAGTACCATGAGGCTAGATGCTAGATGGGAGATATAACAAACTAAAGATAGGAGTCTCTTGTCTTCATGGAACTTATAGTTTGGGTGGTGAGACAGACAAGCCCACTTGCCATAATGATACAGTGTGACAGGAGCACCTAACTCAGCCTTCAGGGCGTTCTTGCAGGATGTATGTCTGAATGAAACATGAAGGGAAAGAAGGTGTCATTTTAGGTAGAGAGCAGAGAAAAGGTGTTCCAGGCAAATGGACCAGCACACGCAAAACATGCCAGAGCTGAGAAGGGCTTTCAAATGTCATAAAAATGGAGGAAACATCTGTACTTTAAAAACAAAGAAAAAAAAACCCTCCTCTAAATTTGGATCTTTCCGTATCATTCTAAAGGCGTCAAGATTCAGATCTTACTTCTTTGCAGTGGTAAGAATTACAAAATCCCATATGGTGGTATGCTCTTCAAACCTTTGTCATCTCTCTTTCAGTAGTAAATGTTTGCTTTCATGGTATCACATAGTACTAAGCCCTAAAGGTACTTATTAAATGGCCATTTGCCAAGTTTCTCCTTTATCTGAGTTTGCTAGAAACAGTCAAGGAGAAGTGAGCAGTGACCTAAATAACTTGGTAAAGGAGGAGAGCCAGTCTGAATTACCTGGGACATAAAAGACCCTCCTTTTCCTCACTAGGATCCCTCCCTACTCCTTGTCCTGCCTTACCACAGTTTAATAACCTTTCTTAACACTTACTTTGTTAATACTAATTTGGATTAACTAATCACAAATGGATAAAATTACATGGTAGTTTTCCAAATTTCCACTGTGCTCAAATTAATCAGTCAACACACTATAGGACACACATAATTTTCTCCGTGTGTGACCTCACAGATGAGACTTCCAAGCCTCACCTATATTGAGTATTTTTAACATTTTGCCATTCTAATGGCTATAGCTGTATAAATGCAGTTATGAAGAGGAAACACAGAAATATGGCCACTATCTAGTAGGACTAGATGGACAGGTGGTTCAATGACATCATCTTTGCTCATCTCAATCACCTTGAAAAATGGCATTATTAATTGCCATTTTAAGAAACAGTAAACTCAAAGAAGTTATGCTTCATACCCAGGTTACACAACCATGCAGAGGACTTAGCATGATGCCTAGAATATCAACAAGCACTTAATAAACATTAATTGTATTACAAACAGCAGAATCAAGAATGAACTTGACCATCTGGCTCCAAAGCCCATTCTCATTTCAACACATTGGGTTTCCTCAGGAAGCTTCTAGACACTGGGAGAGAGGAGACAGAAGTTATAGCTTGGGGGGAATTCACTTTGAATCTTTCTCTCCCCAAGGAGAGTAAATCTATGAACCAAGAACCTGTGGGAATTCTCCACTGTTAATCTGTCAGTTCTGAGGGAAGGCAGCCGAGATGACTGCTGAGTGAAGGTTTTGAAGATTAGCAGACCCCACGTCTGCCTCTTGCTAAAACCAGATGACATGCCTGTCTCACATATCTTTGATGGAAAGGCTTCTATGGCTGTTTTCTGTAAAAAGGTTTATGTAGCTTGTGATTCTGAATCATGACACCTTTTACCTGCAGTATCTAGAATGGGTGTGGTGGTGATGGTGGTGAACCCGCTTTGTTTGCAAGTCTGAGGCAATAATTCTCCACTGACCTGAAACCAGACACATTGAAAGAATACCTAACATCCTATAAAGTATTGTTGAGGTGGCAGTGCTCCCTCTGTGTTTAACTTCTGCAGGGCAATATTTTTATGGAGCTATATAAACAACAGTGGTCACAGTAAATGTGCTGAAGAGGAAAAAAGGGAACTGGCTGCCCAGTCCCTGAGTAAAGTAAGTCGTATCTCTGGAGACTGTGTTTGGCTTACCCTGTGTCAGTACAATTTTCCTGTGTGCTGACTCAGGGTTTCCATAGCACCTCTTAGAGAGAAGATGAAAAAAGAGGGTGGAACTAGAAACAGGTAGGAAAATGCAACAGTGAGAAAAATTTTTATAAGTCACAGAGGACCTTTCTTATTGTTGAAATGAGTCAAAAGGACTCTGATCCCACAGCTACAAGAGGCTCAAGCAAAGTTTATCATGTTGCTTACTTGTGCGTTTGAGCTGAATTAATGAAATACTTGCAAACAGGGGTGTCTTTTTTTTTTTTTCATGTT